CTCACACCTGCTTAGCTTCAGTGGGTTGCCAGTTGTGAGTTGCAGGGTGATAAATAATTCCAGTCACTAACATATATATTATGTTTCTATCATTTTTCTTAGTTTTCAATAGAGATACAATGTTTCACATTTTTACTATAATTTTAGTAAAGCTGTGTTCATAGCTTAACAACATGAATAATTCAAATAAGCCACACCTCACTTCCTCTTTCAAGCACAGTTAAACTACTCACATACTGTATGTCAAGTGTGTATGGGTATTTAAATAAAGACAACTGCTGAAATACAGGAAAGACTGTAAGACTGAGATATAAAGGGGCATAGTTAAAAAAATATCCCCAACACAAGCAAACTATTAACAGACCTCACATCTTCATTTTGTATGAATCAGTTATGGTAAATCACTCCGGATTATGCAAAATAATGCTACACCATTTTTAACATTTCAGCTCATTACCTTGCATCCTAATTTCATTTAAAAATAATGCCATTACATTTGCTAAATAATTCCAGTCATTAAAATTCATATTATGTTTCCATTATTTTTCTTAGTTTGCAATAGAGATACAATATTTCACATTTTTACTATAATTTAAGTAAAGCTGTGTTCATAGCTTAACAACATGAATAATTCTAAATTTCTACCTTACCCAACGTCCGTTTGTTTGTAACAAGCGCTCACAGAAAGCACAGAGCATGTCCTACATGTTGGCTTCTTGTTGTGTCTTATTAACAAAGGGAGCTGAATAATTCCAAATCTGAGATACAGGGAGAGAAGAGTTAGCGGACAGAATGCAAGAGTTGCATTTTCAGGAACAGAACTGACAGCTGCTGAGATGAGATAGCAATTAGAGGCTAAAAGCTGAAAGCCTTCATTAAAAAAGTATTACACCAAAAAGTGTGTTATGAAGATATTTATATGTTGTCATGCAATGTTGTATATTTTGTGAGTTATTAATCAGAAAGGTTTTCTGAAAAACCTGTAAAGAATTTGTAAAGAGAAGAAAATTCTTTCAAAAGGATATTATTTTCTTTTTATCCATGCTGTTTCCACTGAACTCATGTTATCAGTACAGGGCTTTAAACATTACCAGAATCTCCTGAGTCAAGGCTCATGGGACAGAGGTGTCATTAAGCCAAAATAACGGTGCTGACTCAAACACAGGAAGCTTAGGCTAAACTAAAAAACAATTTCAATGTTCCTAACCTCATGTACATACTGTTGCCCTAGTTCACTCTGCTCTCCTTTTACACCTCAGGCATTATTTGTGTGCATGTACTGTAATTAAAAGCCAAAAATAACTCAGGTAAATTTCGCTTTGCACTCTCCAGATAGGGGCAATCCATGCCTGTTCAGTAATTCAGATGTAAGTAGTCTGAATTTGCCTAGCAAATATGTGAACACACCCTTTGTAAATGGGTACATGTAGAGAAAATCTGCTCACAGCTGATGGTAAGTCATTG